TAGGAGGTGTCACAAAACCTTAATAATTTCAGAATTTGTGATTGAACTTTAACAATTTTGGGCTCATTAAAATTGTCAATTAAGATGGTTATTTGATGGTAAAATTATTTATTGCGATTTGCAAAACGATGTATTTTGATCAATTTGTATAAATCGCTGCTCACCTATACAATCGCTTGATTGCCATCAGATGTGTGTTCGTGAAGTGATTTCTTAGTTAAAATTCAATATAGGTATGTTATTTTCATAATCTTTGTTGGGCGTAGTTATTCGCTAAAAATCGTGTTGTACTATTGTGCAATCGGATAACAACGTACAGTACAAAATTGATCATTTTGTAAATCGCAATAAAACAAACTTTATGTCGGGTGCAACGTGTTAATCACAAATTACAATTTTTTATCGTTCTTTGAAAATCGTGCAACAAATAAAGTTATTGAATCCTGAATTCTTTATATCAATATTGTTATAAACAATGATAAGATGCAGAATTTATAGGGCTCACAAAATGATTTGCCGCAATCCAATATATTATCATTAGTTTAATAATTGCAATACACAGAATTCATAAGATTCTAAACACTATTTGTCGCACTATTTTCGCAAAGTGCGGCAAAATTTTGATATAGTCATCTTTTAACCTTAACGTTAACCCTTAAGTGAAGTTCACTATCATAAATCTTATGCTTTATGTGAAAGTCTCCAAGTGACACTGAACTAGTAGTTATGTGCTGGCCCAGTTGAGGGATAGGTTAATGCTTGACGAAACAAGAAAAAAACGAAAAAAAAATAATTACAAAAAATACAAGAAATGAAAAACCTAAATCTATTTCGAAGCATTAATGAGAAATGTTGGGGGAGACTTGTTTCTTTTGCCTTTAAATATTAACCCAAAATGGACCTAAATTAATTAAATAAACGTTAAACTAGATAATTTTTCAAAATTCACTCCGCCAAACGGACTATCAGTTGAGTATTTGAATTGAATCTCATCCAGAATGGGCAGGATTTTTGTATACCTAATTCGGACAAAGTAACAGGAAAGGACAATTTCTTCTAATTTGGATTATGAATTAGGTGTACAAACCTGTAGTTTGGGTTGTGAAAAGAAACTACAGTACCAATCAATTCATATTAAAGATAATACAGTTATTATCAATTAAATAGGGCAATGTCTACAAGAAAGTACTTTAGCATACCGCAAATGCCTAGACCTAAAAAAATTGAACAAGTTATATCTAAATAATTTCATTATAGCTGCGTTGAAAATTCGCTAATAGAAAAAGATATGTAAATGCTTTTTTTACTTTCTTTATATGAGAAAAAAACAAGTCCAACCAACTAAAGCATAACCCCATTCGGTTAAATGATCGGCCGAGGCGCTCTTTTTCAACCGACCGATTGTTTATTTAGCCGACTTCACCCCAAGTGACAATTTATTAACTATATCAATATATATATCTGCAATTAATCAAATGATAATCTTAACCTTAACCCTATGTGATGTCGGATCGGTGAAATGATTGTCGAAACGCCGCAATTCGCAATTTTCTGCAGATTTGATTCATCGGTGTTAATTATCCATTTAGGTTCGGAAAACAGGGGCAAGTAGGCCCGTGGGTTTTGAATAGGACCGTTAATTCTACCTACGTACGTACGTACGTAAAACGGCAATAGCACGCATGTACGTACGTCATTATATTCTTCATATGAAACATACGTCTCTACTTAACGTTAGACTATGATCGAATTATTAAGCACATGGACCACACATGAATGATCGTGATAACGGGATAGACAATTAACACATTAAATATCATGCTAGACTGCATTAGATATTTCATAAATGTAATATAGAACAAAAAAGAAGTATTTTATTAATAATGATGGTGCAGGTCTTTTAAGTTCTAATCGCTGCTGTAATGCATACACCCGGAGTATTCACTCATTACCATTCGGAAAGTAAATTACTTCCCGTATCTAGTAATATTTACCTTTAAATGAATACAAAAATAAATATTGACCGTAGCACATTTTTTTGTGTAATCATAACAAAAGGTATAAATCTTGAAGCAACTCTAATTGACGTTAATACGTAAAAACCTAAATTTTAGCTGTTATATCATTATATTATATTATATTAATTATGGCGATTGAACTTAATACAAAACTGCAAGACATTATGATGAATACATCTATTCCTGAAATTTCATCACGTTATTTACCTTTAATGACATCGGTGAAATATACAGTTAGTGAAATGTCTAAAATTCATGAAAATGCCGAATGCAATAAAGAAATTTGCTCAATAATGATGAAGCTTGTGAGGAAGGCAGAAATAGAAATGAATTTAATGATAATAGACATGAATGATAATATGAAGAATATTATTCAAAATAATTATTATGCGAGCTTTAAAAGTTTTAAAATTATTCTATCAAATATTAGAGAATATATCAAGAATGTGTCAACGCTTAGGGGTTATAAAAAGTATCTTAGTGCAAAAGAAGTTAGAAACAAATTTAATAATTTGATTAATGAATATAATAATTGTATAGAACGTTTACAGTTTACACAGTTTGCTTTAAAAACTGTCGATGAAATTAATGGTAATTCCGATGTAGAAAAAGTCGATAAAGATATAAATGAAGTGGAAGATGTAAGTATAATTATTTAAAAATATCATTGCTTTTTCTGACTATTCCTTTTTTTGTATGAAAACAAAAAGATTAAAATAAGAATTAAGAGAACGCTTAAGACAAAAGTTTAATGAATTTAAAAAAACTTTTTTACTTGCTAGACTCTTCAAAATATTACTTGCAAAGATAATCGGAGCATCGACGCAATAGTCCAAGAAGTATCAATAATAAGAATCCAAACTGCTAAACAACAAGGCGATGTTCGTGCACAGAGGATTAATTCAAGCGAACTAAAAGATCTTCTTATACCACTTGAAAATCATCGTGGTCGTATAGTTAAGAAATTATATAATGATTCTGAAGTTGCATGCAAACCCATTGGCGATTATAAGAATCAAGAAAGTGATTTAACAATTCTTGGAAAATTACAATCAGAGTACATACTTCGTTTTTATGGTCTTTCAAGTGTAGATAATCTTAAAGTCATAGTACTTGAATGGACTAATAATGGAACTTTAAAGGAACTTTATAACACTTATATCATTCCTTGGACTAGAAAATTACAAATTGTTCGAGATATATGTCGTGGCATTGTATTCTTACGTAGATTAAATATTTTTCATCATGATCTTAGATGTGGAAATATTTTTGTAAATATAAATTAAATAAATTTAAATGAAATTTTAATTTATTATAATGTATCAAAATTGTTAACATATTAAATTTTAGATATCAAGCGATTTGGTCCCAAAACTTGGAAATTTCAGATGTACTCGTGAAGTAAATGTAAGAGCTAAGAATCTTTCAGGTTTAGTAACAGATGTTATTCGTTGGATGGCTCCTGAACAACTTGAGAGATATGAAAAATATAGACGTGATGAAAATACATATACATTTAGTTGTGAAATGTTTAGGTAATTGTTGTTTATCTTTCTCCTACATAGAATACCTTATTAGTAATATTTCAATAATTCGTTAATAATTTTCGTTTTTGTAATTAGTTTCGGTATGCTAATATGGGAACTTTGTTACGAAAAGATGCCATATGAAAACTTGGAGATTAAAGAAATATCTGATCATGTTATAAGTGGTAAACGAGAAAAGCTTTTACTTAAAAACTTTAGTAATACTACTGATAAAGAGATTCAACAAGAATTTATTATAATTATCAATAAAAGTAAGTTTAAATAATTAATTAATTATACTTGATTAATTGCCATAGTTACTGTATTTGATGCGAAACAGTCAATAACGAAAATAATTTGTAAAATAAATTATTATCTGGCTGTATAATCTAATATATCGTCTTTTGACACCGAAAGTCTCTGAAACGACACATATTAAATTCTCTGTCAGATAAACATATTATTGGCTGCATAGCATACAATAACAGTGTTATCCGATGGTTTACGACGATCGTACTCACTAAATGACTCGAGTTTTCAATGATTACGTAAGCTGAAAATGGCGGAGTTTATTTAGCAGATGATGTTATCATTGTCAAATAATCGAGTTATTTTTTCACAAGAACTATCATAGTGAGCTGCCGGATAGTTGTTTTTTTTCTTTTTACTGATTTAATTTTTTCTTTCGTTTAATTCGTAAACAGCATGGCATCATAAACCACATCAACGAATATCTCTTGCAGGCTTACATTTAACACTCGAAAAATTGGTCGAAAACTTTCCAATACCTTTTGACACGCCAATACCTTTACAAGATAAAATTTCAAAACTTGAAGAAGCAATGGATGTTGATAGTCCATCTGTTGACTTTTTGATACCTCTTGAAAAAGGAGTAGAACTTCATAAAAATAGAGATCATAAAGCTGCCTTAGAATGTTTTGAAGAAAATGCTAAACTTGGTGATCCTCTTGCAAAATATTGGCTGGGTTACTACCTATCTTATGGGTATGATGTCATAGAAATAGATAAGGAACGAGCGAAAAACCTTTTTAAAGAAGCTGCTGATCATGATCATTCTGATGCTCAATGTCGATATGCTGTTGCTTTACTATCTGATCTTAAGAAAGATGATCCTGAATCTAAAAAAGAAGAAAATAGAAATGAAATAATACATTATTTTAAATTGGCTGCTAATAACAAAAATCCTAATGCTATGTATTACTTAGCAGATATTTATATCAATGGAAAGCTTAAAGTACAATCTGATAAAGAACTTGGAATGATGTATTTAAAATTAGCTGCTGATCATAATTATGAAAAAGCTGTTAATTTATTAAAGCAATTGAATGATGCTAAGAAAGATGCTGAGAATGATGGTAAAAACGTCGTTAAGAATGACGTTAAGAACGATATTAACAAGGATGTTAAAACCGAAATTATGAATGGAGTTGTAAATGGAGTTACGAATAAAGTTGAGAATGATAAAGTTGGGAATGAAAAAGCTGGGAACGATAAAGTTGAAAACGATAAAATTAAGAACGATAAAGTTGAGAGTGATAAAGTTAAGAATGAGATTAAGAACGAAGTTATGAATGAAAATAAGAGTGAAGAGAAGAGTGAAGCTATGAATGAAGAGAAGAGTGTAGCTATGAGTGAAGAGAAAAGTGTAGCTATGAATGAAGATAAGGGTGAAGATAAGAGTGAAGAGAAGAGTGAAGCTATGAATGAGGATAAGAGTGAAGAGAAGATGAATGAAGATAAGAGTGAAGAGAAAAGTGAAGCCATGAATGAAGATAAGAGTGAGGAGAAGAGTGAGGCTATGAATGAAGATAGGAGTAAGAGTGAAATGATAAGTGATACGAATGAAGTTAAAAATGGTGATAAAAATAAAGTAATAAATAAAGATGAAAACGGCGTTAAGAATGAAATTATGAATGAAGATAGGAGTGATGTGATGAGTATAGATAATTATGAAGTAATAAATGAGGATAAGAATAAAGAAATGAATGATGATAAGCAAGAAAATATGGACGAAGACAGGACTGGTTTTGGGAATCAAAATTTGAACTATTGTAGCGTGGGTTGAATATAACATATTATAACCAACGCAAATAAGGCCACGTAAAGTTGATTTTCGTTTTGCATTACCCGCAGACTTTGATTTTCAAAAGCAATTTTTTTTTGTCAACAAATTAATCCGGTATCACCCGATATACAAACCTTATTCCCCGAAATTATCTGATAAACCCGATAGAAAACTCATGATTCCATGTTATGCAAATCGAAAAATTACTTTGCATGGTCTTAGATGTGAACATGAGTCTAATTTACAAAAAAAAAAAACCTGACCGATCGACTATAATTTTGAAACCTTGTAATGCAAAACGAAAAATCAACTTTGTGTGGCCTAAATGGTAAATGAGGTTAATAATGAAGACTTATACTTTGTTTACTGTTAAATTAATTACGTTTCTGAGAGATTAACATGAGAATGTACTCAAGATAATTAATGCTACGAAATGCATCTCTTTTGTAACTGGTTACAAGTATGGGTACGTTTCATGGAAAGTAATTTTAAATAAGGCCAGACCAGTTAATTCTTTATTTAATATATATTGTATATATACTATTTTATATTGACATGTGTATTATTATTATTATAATGAAATCATTATGTTTAAAACGTACAAATCAAATTCTATGCTTAATAAATATACGTATATTTAAAATCTTTATTAATAAAATTCCTGTATAATACAGCTGTTTTTGATTTAGTTGGATCGACGGTCTGCATAATTTTTCTTTTAGCCCGTGAGTCCGTGAATACACTAGAGATAACCACTTTATATTCGTCATATTTTGTGGAAATTCTTTATGATTAATGAGCGCCATCAAGGGAAAACCTACATGCCGGCTTTCAATTATATTTTGTGTGCAGTTAATCGTCTATGGAAAATCTCTTTGCCAAGAAAACACACTTTGGGCATGGTGGTAGTGGTATAAAAAGGAGCAACTTGGGTTAGAAGCATAATTAGACTATCTTCATCTTTATTTCATAGTTAGGGCCAAGTTGTAGAATTTTTTTTTCTTTATTCATAACTCTAGTTTATTATTTGGCATTTTACTTCTTTATTTTTGTATAGATCTTATTCCTTGTCAAACCAGACTTTATTATTATGTCTTATAGACGGGTTTATCTATATTTATACAAAAAAACAAACTAAAAACTTTAAAATTTTTTCTTAAATTTATACAGTACCGGACAGCATAAGATATCCACTATTTATTAAAGCGCCAAATTTAGAGTAAGGACAATATAAAACATCCACTTTTTATTAAAGACGCCAAATTTAAATAAAGACGGCACAAGACATCTAATTTATAATTATAAGAGGCGCCAAATTTACTAATCTATATGGCTAGTTTTATTTATTAAAATTACATTACTTTTGCAATTACACGGTTATGCGCTCGTTAGACATTTTGCACTTTCACATGATACGTAATAGACCTGCTTTTAATAAACCGGGTA